ACTTTTGATTCCACTCAAGTTGGATCACTTAAGATGATCTGCATACTACTTTGCCTCTTAGGCTTTTTCAGACAACAAAAAGAGCAAGTACATGTTAAGTATCAGAAATATCTTTTTCATCACTAAGCTTGTGTGAATTTTCTTTTATGTCTTATTCTTGAAGTCACTTGTCTTGCCTGTTATTAATTGCAGGCTATTAATAGCAGGTAGTTTAGAAATAACCAGAACTCAAGTGCAGAGAATTAAACCATATCACCCTCACGTTTTCTTGCTCACTTAGACATGGAAATGCAAATCATGTTAACATGTAATCAAAGTTAAATTCAGAACAATGTTCATGATTTATCTCTAGTGTCCTGGAATCTGTGTGGTTGTCCACTGTCACTTTCATACTTCAGGCCCCCTTGCCTTCTAGGATACCTACCCCCACACACACTTTCCCCTTCTCCCCAGAGGTTCAGTTCCTACAATCTGATATTTCTATGGGCCCAGAAGGGACTTTCCAAGCAAAATCAAACAAACCCAATTCACTGCCATCAAATCGATTCTGACTCACAGTGATTCCCATTGGGTTCCCAAAGCTATAAATCTCTACGGAAGCAGACTGCCTCATCTTTTTTCTGTGGAGTGGCTGGTGGGTTCAAACCATTGACCTTTTTGTTAGCAGCTAATGCCTTAACCACTGTATCACCAGAGCTCCTTTCCAAGCAAAGCAAACTTTATTAAGCTTGTTGTTGTTGTTGTTGTTATGTGCCGTCGAGTCAGCCCTGACTCATAGCGACCCCTCCTTGGGTTTCTGAGGCAGTATCACTACGGAAGTAGGATTGCCCAACCTTCCTTCCGAGGAGTGGCTACAGGGTCCAAAAGACTAGAAAGCAAGGCCATGGCCTGACTTAGGGGTGGAAACACTAATACTATCATGATCCTCTCTTCACTTATACATCAGCCACTGAACTTTTTTCTCTGTTCTTAGACAAGTTATTTCTGACCCACTCTTCCTCATCAATTCCTAACCAATAAAAGGGGAGGGGAGGGGAGAAAATCATGTTAAGATAAGGTGTCATTCAAGCTCACAGATGCACCTGCTGCTCGATAGCCAGCTCCCTGTCCAGCCTTGAAGCTTCACACCGAACCCAGGGCAATGTTAGATTTAAATGTGGGTAACATAAGCACTCCAACTTCATTCTTGAAGACTCTGCTTTCTTAAAGAAATATCTTTATTTTTTTCTCCTTTTTTCCTTTCCCTTCAAGCTCAATTTTTAAAAATAATAACACAAATGCCTAAATTTCAAAAGCAAAATGCCATAAAGCCCTTTTCTAAAGTTTATCAAGAAAATATCCAGCTGGTATGTGCAGGTTACAGACCTGACTGGCCATCAAGGCTCCATCTCAATCATGACCAGAGTTCACATGAAGACTTCTCATGGCCCGGTTAAGAACTTTAAAGTTGTTCCTTACAACTAAAACCACCACCACAGGGGACAGTGTTTAGGCAAGAACATATCAAAGGACTTTTGGAATATCTTGGACCCTGTAAGGATAACTCATGAACCAGAAGTAGCATAAGGCTGGCTCCTATGAGGTAGAAGTCAAATACACCCCCATTCTCTAACTTCTCCTTTTGACACCAGTCATTCCCCTCAGTGACTTCTTTCTCTACTGGATTTGGTAATGCATTGAAATAGTCACAAAAAACTCATGGGAACAACATAACTGCAATGACTTTAATAACAGAGAAGGATGTAAACGGAAACAAAGATAAGTAAAAGGTGAGGTTTGGGAGGGGTCTAAAGTGAGAACTATTTAAGTTTTAAAGGGCACCCATTTATACTTTCTGAAAACCAATGGTCGTTCTCATTCATCAGGAAATTTTCAAATAGGAAACTCAATGATGTCTCTTAGCAGGTTTGGCTATTAGTCACCCCTCTCAGTTCTCAGCCAGGTTTTGGTCTTTACACTCTGCTGCCATCGTCTGAGGCTGCTGGTTGTCTCTGTTTCTTCTGGTATCATTGCAGCTGCTCCCTTCATCACTCTCTGCTCCATGGGCCAGCTTATCCACCTCCACAGACTACCTTGGTAGCCAACTTGCCCACTGCATCTGTCTCTCTTGGTCTTTGATATTACAACCCTTGACCCATATTACAGCTCTTTTATTTGGGTCTAGGACATTCTCCCACCACTCGTCTGTCAGTTTATTGTACTGTGGTGGTTTGCGTGTTACTGCGAACCTGGAAGCTCTGCCATCAGTTTTTCGAAGTACCAGCAGAGTCAAGCACAGTGGACAGATTTCACTAGAGCTTCCAGACTATGACAGACTGGGAAGAAGGACAAGGCCTTGAAACACTGATATACTACTGGAAAACTTCATGAATAGCAGTTTGATGTAGTGCCAGAAGATGATCCCCTCAGTTAGGAAGGCACTTCAAATATGACTGGGGAAGAGCTGCCTCCTCAAAGTAGAGTTGACTTCAATGATGTGGATGGAGTAAAGCTTTTGGGACCTTCATCTGCTGATGTGGCAAGTCTCAAAATGAGAAGAAACAGCTGCAAACATTCATTAATAATCAGAATGTGGAATGTACAAAGTAGGAATTTAGGCTCTCCTGGACAAAGTGCAGCTGGAATGCTCCTTAAAAGTGAGAATGTCCACACTTCATCTCTCATACTTTGGTCATGCTATCAGAAGGAACTAGTCCTGGAGAAGGATATCATGCTTGGTACAGTAGAGGATCAGTGAAAAGGGGGAAGACCTTCAATAAGACAGACCGACACAGTGGTTGCAATGATGGGCTCAAGCATACCAAGCCCTGTGAGGATGGCACAGGACGGTGCAGTGCTTTGTTCTGTCACACATAGGGTCATTATGAGCTGGAGTCAACTCAGTGGCACCTAACAACAACAACAGGAAATTCTCAGCACAGAGATCTCAAATCTAAAGGACGTACTCCTCTCCAGGTTCTTGTTGATCAAAAGGTCCTCAAAAACTCCTGCAAGATTGCCTGCTTTTACAGGGATACTGCTTGACAATCTTAGGGTATATCTTTAGTAAACTGACCAATCCCTTAGGTGGATTGTAAACTGACCAATTCTATTGGGAGGATTTGCAAGTCTTCTTTGAGGTTAGTAAACTGACCAATCATTGGCAAGCCACTTATATGGATACTATACTGACCATTCACTTGCAAAATTATAGCCCAACCAATTATTTTGGGAGAATTACCAACCCACAGTCAGAAAGGCCATATAAAACCCCATTGCACCACAGACCCATTGCCAGAGGAGTTATTATTGTGTCTCTGCTAATGTTCATTTACTGACTTTCTCTTCACTCCAACATCTGAGCTGCCACTGAATGTATTCTGGGTATTCTTTTTACTCACATATTAGAAAAGTTTCTGTGTATCTAATAGCACACTACTAGATAGTCAGTTGACTGTCAGGGTGGCCTTGCTAGCCTAATTAACTAAGGATCCAGAAAGCCCATGGAAATTTGAGCTGTGATGCTAACAATTGCCATTATGTACTCACTGCTGTTAAGTTGATTGCAACCCATAGAGACCTTACAGGACAGAGAAAAACTGCCCAATTGAGTTTCCAAGCTAATCTTTACAGAGGCATACTGCCACATCTTTCTCCCATGGAAAGGATGGTGGGTTTGAACCTCTAACCTTTCTGTTAGCAGCCACGCACTTAACTACTATGCTACCAGGACTCCTTCACAATTGCCATTCGATTAATTAAACCTCAAGTTGTGCTCTGGTTTAAAGCCCTGGTGTGAGTGGCCAGGGAACAATAGAGTGCAGGGTGTGTGGATGGGATGGCATGCATTTATTAAGTTTCTGCAAAAATACTACTGTATAATGAACAACCCCAACATCTTAGTGGTTTACAACAAAAACATTTATTCCTTGTTCCAATTAGCTGGGGTGGTTCTGCTTCAGGATTCAGGTCAGGTTCAGGTATTATCAATATATTTCTCATTTCTTTTCATACCAAATGGCAGACACACAAGGGGGGTGAGTGGAAACACGTAATGCCCCTTACGGCCTTGGCTCACAATCCGCATGCTGTCACTTCCACTCATATTCTGTTAGTCAAAGCATCATATTGCTAACGCCAAAATCAATGGGATGGGGAAGTGTGCTCATTCCTTACAAGAGAAGCCATGGAAAGGACAGGGCAAAAGGAAAACTTTTAGACAAACATGTAATCTACCACACTGGTCCCAGTTCTCAAGGTCAGGGGGCTGGAGAAAGCATCCTGGAGATCCTTACCACACTTTCCATACTTAATAAGAGCTACTTAGGTCCATGAGCCTCTAGACATGTGTCCAAAACACTTTGGACAAAAGCAGGCATTTTGGATGCCATAAAGAGAAAGAGTGTGGAACTGAGCCACTGGGGTGCAGTGACAGCTGATGGCTTCACCAGAGACTCAACGATATGTCACTAGGCATTGGGCTTAGTGGAGAGTAGCGTCTACAATGTGCTCTGTGCCTTACTAGGCCCCAGGGACCTTTGGAAGTGGCTCTGAGAGGCTACCACAAGCACCTACAATTTTGTTTCACATTTTTGTTTCACTTGCCTTTTCTTTCTAATATGGATTTCAATTCTCTTTTCATAGGGCTTTGCCAAGACCCTGGAAAGCTGGGAACACAATTGCAACACTTATCCCTGATTTCAGGGGGTGTTGACTCAAATTCAAGACATTGAAAAGTCATTGCCTCCAAAGAGTGATACTTGAATGCATGTACATGAGATGTGGGCGTCCATGGTGCTAAAACTGGAGCCATATAAAATCCTTAAGTGATTCCCTCTTAAATGAATGTGGCAAACTGTGAAATCAGGAATAAGGATGAAAAACAAACAAATTACAAATTTTTGGCTTCTGAAGCTATTTTGAAGAACATCATCTAAGCAGTTTCCAAAAAAAGAAATAAAAAATTTCCTTCCTTTCAAAATTTTCTATCAAATAACTGAAAATAGAATCTGACTGTGCTTTCAGACAAGAAACACCTGTATGAAAGCAGAAAAGAAACATAAACACCAACATATTCAGGTAGTTGGAAATACCCAGAAAATCAACTGAAATTTTTAGTTTTCTTCTGAATGTTTGGCATTCTGGAGAACTTTCAACATAAACTAGGCTTATCACCTATTATTGCACTGCATTTATTTATGGTTTATAATACTTATTTACAGTATACCCTGGTTTTATGTAACAATATATTTTTCAAAACATTGAGCGTAGAGTAAGTATTAGTAATTGTAATTGATCTAGGAATAGTTTCTAACAAATGTTGCAGGTTAGATATTGTATGGGTTAGATACTATAGGGGTACAAAAATATCAAAAACATATGCACTGTGGTTTAGAACAAGGTGGCACTTAGTAAAGTAATATGCTAGTGCTAAAAAGGCAAGAAGGCCGCATCTTCTGACCTCCTCTAACTGCACAAGAGGAAGACAGAGTCACTATCAGTAACCTGAGGCCTGTTTCTGCAAGGCCAGACATGCTGCCTCCCTCCAGCCCCTTCACCAACCGTTCCTCCCAAAGCACCCACCACCTCTCTCCTGGGTTTGATAATTTGCTGCAGTAGCCACACAGAACTCACAGATTATGGGGTTTATTAAGGAAGTACACAGCTACAATTCAAGTTCAGAAAAAACACTCAGTCTCTCTCCCAGCCCACTGTCTTTCAGCCAACAGTCTCTCACAGTCTCTCACTCAACAATGCGTGTCTCTTGCTTCCCTTTCCCAGAAGCGTTTGTCTCTTTCAGCAGCACGTCTTCCTCAACCAGCAGTCAGAGAGAGAGAGAGAGAATGCCTTCTGCCTCTAGGAGGCCTCCTTTTGAGCCCAGCAGAGTGGCCAAACCAACCAATCATAACATCAGAATTCTAAGCACATGAGAGAGAGCGGGAACCTCCCAGAACACTGTTTTGTGACACTCCCAACAGAAATACCCCAGGTGGAAAACTTTAGCAATCAGGAACTCCTCAGTTGCTCATGGCAAATTCCACCGCAGAGTTTACAAAGACTCTAGTAGCGTAGTGCCTAAGGCACTTGACTGCTAACCAGAAGGCTGGCAGTTCAAACCCACCAGCCACTCTTCAGAAGGAAGGTTAGGCAATCTACTTCCGTAGTGACACTGCCTCAGAAACCCAACGAGGGGTCGCTATGAGTCAGGTCCGAATCCATGGTACATAACAACAACAACAACAGATGGGTAGAAAAGCCACACTAAGTAAATTACTACATCATAGCTAGCCATAGAAATGTGCTCCCCAGGTCTTTCAAAGCCTGATTTTTTTGGAAGTAGACTACCAGGCCTTTCTTCTGAGGTGCCTCTGGGTAGACATAGAACATCAATTGGACACACATGGGTTGCCATAAGTCAGAATTGACTTAAGAGCTGGTTGTGGTGGTGGTGGTGGTGGTGGTGGCAGCCATTAGTGAACCAAACAGGCCCCTAGGCCTTTATGTTACAGACAAAAAGTATGATAGCTGCTAAGGGAGGGAAAGTTGCGTTTTAACTATTTCGGGTTTGTGGAGTACCCCAACATGCTTTCTGAGAAAAGATATTTTTAAATTATTTTTAATTTCCTAAAAGCAATAAGATGAGCAGAAGATTCTTAGAGAAGAAAAACTCAAGGGAATATCCTGAGGAGTGATGGGGAGTGTATAGCTTCAGATCACACCTTTGCCTCCCCCAGAAAAGCTACTCAATGGAAAAGCCAAGAGGATAAATGGGCATGGGGATCACGGCAGACAGGTGTCGCTGTAATAAATAAATCCCAGGGTAAATCTTTTTGGGAAACAAACATGCTTCCCAGAATCTACTTTTTCCCCTCAATGCTCAGGTTACATTTTCTTAAGGCAAAGATCTCTTTCTTGCTTTTCCTGATGATCATGTTGAAGTAATCAAAAAAAAAAAAGAGAGAGAGAGAGAGAGAGAGAGAACTTTCACGACAGATCTTCCAATATGCTCTACTGTTCACATATCCTTTTGGCAAGTACTTACTGAGACCTTTCTATAGATCTCACTGTTAATAGGTCACTGCCATAGGTGCAGGAACAAAATAGGCAAAGTTCCCGCCTTCCAGGTGGATGAAGCTGACATCCAGTGGATGCGCAGGTGATCCTTGGACCAAAATAACTTCCAGTTTAGGTATAACAATAAAAATATTTCTAGAAAGTGCATGTACTCATCAGTTTATTCCTTTGAAATATCACATCTCTCTGTCTTTTCTCTTTCTTTTATTCTGTCTTGTGTAATGTGTGTGTGTGTGTTGTTGTTGTTGTTAAGTGCCATCGAGTCGTTTCTGACTCATAGCGACCCCATGCACAGCAGAACGAAACACTGCCTGATCCCGCGCCAGCCCCACAATCCATGCTATACTCGAGCCCATCATCGCAGCCACTGTATCAATCCATCTCCCTGAAGGCCTCCCCCTCTTTCGTCGACCCTCCACCCTACCAAGCATGACATCCTTCTCCAGGGAATGGTCCCTCCTTTCAACATGACCAAAATAGGTGAGACGAAGTCTGGCCATTCTTGCTTCCAAGGAGCATTCTGGCTGCACTTCCTCCAGGACAGATCTGTTAGTTCTTTTAGCAGTCCACGGTACTTTCAGCATTCTTCGCCAGCACCACAACTCAAAAGCATCAACTCTTCTTCGGTCTTCCTTATTCATTGTCCAGCTCTCACATGCATACCAGGCGATTGGAAATATCATGGCTTGTGTCAGGCGCACCTTAGTCCTCAAGGAGATATCCTTGCTCCTCAGCACTTGAAACAGTTCCTTTGCAGTTGACTTCTCCAATGCTACACGTCGTCTAATGTCCTGACTGCTGCTTCCGTTGGCATCGATATAAGCTCTAGTAACATAGTGCCTAAGGCACTTGACTGCTAAGCAGAAGGCTGGCGGTTCAAACCCACCAGCCACTCCTCAGAAGAAAGGCTGGGCAATCCTACTTCTGTAGTGATACCGCCTCAGAAACCCAAGGAGGGGTCACTATGAGTCGGGGCCGACTTGACAGTACATAACAATAACAACAACAACAACTATATATATATATACACACCAAAAGAAACCAAATTCACTGCCATCGAGTCAGATCCGACTCATAGCGACCCCTCCTTGGGTTACTGAAGTAGTATCACTACAGAAGTAGATTGCCCAACCTGAGCCCTGGTGGTGTAGTGCCTAAGGCACTTGACTGCTAACCAGAAGGCTGGTAGTTCAAACCCACCACTCCTTGGAAGGTAGGTTGGGCAATCTACTTCCATAGTGATACTGCCTTGGAAACCCAAGGAGGGGTCACTATGAGTTGGAATTGACTCGACAGCAGTGAGTTTTAGATTGTTTTGGTTTATGTGTGTGTGTGTGTGTGTGTGAATATATACAACCACACACACCCCATGTTGTTGTTAGTTGCTGTTGAATCAGTTCCAAAAGAGGGCAACCCCATATGTGCAGAATAGAATTGCTCTGTAAGTTTTCAAGTCTGGTGATCTTTTGGAGCAGATTGCCAGGCCTGTCTTCTGAGCCACCTCTGGGTGGATTTGAATTGCCAACCTTTCAGCTAGTAGTAGTTCAGCACTTAACTATGTGTGCCACCCAGGGACTCCATTATGCACCCCCTAGCTGGGGGGTGGGTGGCTAAAGATATTTATACATAAATATACAAACTATGCAAATACACAGACTACTCATGATAGGAAACCCAGGCAAGCCCACATATATTCAAGAACACATTGACACTCACAAACCTAGCTATTACAATGTCCACAACTATAAGCAAAAATTCACATGCAAACACTTTCTAATGTAAGCTGTGATTCTCTGTCCAGCTGTCCCCTGTAGCCACTCTTCCCATTGCTCTTATAAGGTCTTGAAGGTGAAACATTTGGTAGCCAACTTTATATACATGCCTGTAAACAACACGGCTCAGCTTTAAATAATTATGTCAAAGAAATGACAACTGTGCTCTTTGTCAGAACAGGGATGAATAATTACAAAGCCAGGACATAATTAAGCAATTCTGACTGTTGGAGTCAAGAGCTGTCTCACTGACAAGAAGGCTGGTGTGCCCGTGTGCATGCTCTCCTGGACAGGCCTCCACACCACTTTGATCTGTGTTTCCTGGTACAGCTAGGGGCGGGGTCATGGTCTGGTCATCATAGGAGATTTTCTTTGGGGGCTCTCACCTTCCGTGTACCCAGCTTGGTGCTCTCTGCATTGACACTGGCAGGAAAAATGGCTGATATTTGACAAAGATATATATTTGCTTTAAGATTCCAGGAAATGAGCAAAGCTTGGCTGTTGTAGGCCCATTAACTAACAACACACACACACATACACACACACACAGAGTGTGGAAGAGTCCATTGTAACATCAGCTCTCACTTCCTAATGAATGACAGCATCTTTCTGTAGAACAATCAGAGCTCAGACAGAAGGCAGCTTTAAACAACAAAAGCCAAAAGGCAGCAACGAAAGAGAAATGTGTCATCACGAGAGAAGGCGAGAGAAAACTCGTACACAAGCAGTGGGGCCTGACGGGTACCCAATCAAACCTTTGTGGCATAGGGGGTTTATTAGTTCCTCGATGATTTTGCATTTGCGTCAGCCGAGAACACCCAGACTGCCCATTCCCTACCTCCAAGGCAAGGGCTGTGATTGGAGAAGCATTTTCCATTCTCTCAAATACTTTATGTCAGGAATAAAATGAAAACAGCTCCCCAAATCACGGCCCCCTTGATCATCCATCAGAGCATTCCGCTGAATAAGCACAACAGGCCTCTGCTGCCTCGGAGAGGACAGAAGCCAACTTGAGATTCCGATTTCTTTATGAAAAATAGGTCTTCACCAAGTGTGCTCAGCCCAGAGCTGGCAATTCACGGGGAGGAAATTGCTCTCCACTTAGAAGCTGAGTCTTGGTATACACATGCCTCCCTGAACATACATATGTATATATAAATACACAGAGACAGAAAGTATACATACATACCTGCATATGAACCAACATATGTCAGTACACCCTGTGAACAGGTAAGAACCAGCCTTTTTAACAGCCTTTATAATGCCAACATATTAATTCAGCAAGGAGCTCATTTGGTCTCTTTCTATCTGCAAGAAAATTACCAGTACCTATCTTTGAAGACTACAGACAAAAGGGAATTGCCTGCCATTTAAGAGAGGCATGCAATTTGATATGAAACCAGGAACACAGAGAAAGGCTCTTATGGACTTGAAGCACCACTGCATAAATAGAGCATTTCCCTGGAAGACTAGACCTCTGTACTGGTCCCAGATCTGTCTCGATGGGACTATGGGACTTGGAATATCCTCTTCCAGTTTCCTCATCTGTAAAATGACTAAATGAGAGGGCAGACTCTTTCTGACGTCCTCCTCAGTTTGGAAACCATGAGACTCTAACAATATACCAAAGGTCCTCAGGGTCTCTGAGACTATTTTTATTTCCTTCCTTGAATAATTAATGGGAATTTTTAAGCTTAATACAATTAGTAAGGATGTTGGAGTCAATCACACAAACATGAGCTAATTCTGTAATTGATTAGGAACTAATTTGTAACTCTGAAGAGCATTTCTGTTGATGTTGCTAATGACTCAGAGAAGCAGCTAATACTGGATTTTAAGGACCCATTGCCAGTTGCATTCAAAGACAGAGGAGGATGCCATTCCTTCCATCACTACATCAATAGAACAGTTCTATTTTTATCTATTTTCTTCATTTAAACTTTCCTATGAGGCTTTGTTTGAACAAAGGGATCCATAGCAAAAATATTTAGCTCACTGCTTTTTATGGACTGAACTGTGTCCCCTCAAAATATGCACTGAAATCCTAATTCCTGTACCTGCAAATATGACCTTGTTTGGAAATAAGGGTTTTTGTTATGTTAATGAGGCCTGTCAGTATACAGTAGGTCCTAAACCTAATCACTTCTGAGTTATAAAAAGACTAGATTGATTTAGGCAGAGAAATACAGGGAAAGACAGACAATGTGTGAGGGTCATCTGTAAATGAAGGGATGTCAAGGATTGCCAGCAGACACCTGTCACTAAGAGAGGAGCTCAAAGAAGGAACTGACATAACTAACATCCTGATTTGCACTTTTAGCCACTAGAACTGTGAGATAGTAGATTTCTCTTCTTTAAAGCTACTCATTTGTAGCTTTACAGCAGCACTAGCTAACTAAGACACCGCTCCAGAGGTAAAAGGCAGAGTGAGAAGAACATGGGCACTGGATGGACACACAGGTGAAGCCCCAGCTCTGGCCATTACTGTCCCTGGGATATTGGACACTTCAATTGACTTCTCTGGGCCTGAGTTGCCTCTTCTGTAGAGAGCTAATGATCCCTTTTTTCACATTATAGAATGTTATAAGGATTCACAACTATGTGTACAAAGAATCTTAGAAGAGTGGTTTATTGAGTACTCCACCCTAATATAGCATGGATTACTTTTATTACCCCTTTGCATCTCTAACGACAATGTGGAACTTCCCATGTTAAAGGCAATGGGAGCAGGAGAAATACTTGATTTCATCTGTAAAATGTATGTATCACAGTAAGAAATATGGGATGGGCAGGAACCCAAGATATTACAAAGATTTCATTTGTTGTACTTTGCTGAATTTCATGACATTGGCTGTCTCTGGAATTTTTTCACAAAAAAAAAAAAAAAAGTCAAGAAATAAATTATTTCATTTGGACTAAATTACAAAAGCTAGAATAACTAAAGGCAGTAAAGGCAGTCATGAGCAATACGTCAAACCTACGCTTCGATAAAGAGAACTGTTAACACCTTGATAGCTACCGAATGAACCACTCAATTAATTTCCCACATGCTGAAACAGGTAACAATACATTTATCTGCCAGTATTAAACCCTCCATATCATATATTTCCACAACTGTTAGCAATTTTACTCAGCATAACGGAAAATAAGTTGCACCTCATGCATTCAAGGAAAGAAAGTGGCCTGAGGTATTCTGCTAGTTGAGCAACTTGATGAAAGAGGTTTCACTTTTCTGTTTTATTTTTATTTGGTTTTCCTTTTTCCCCCTTCATCATTTCCAGTGCATGTATAGATGCTTTAAGTCAATAATCAAGGACAAACTAGATCTCTCAGGTTTCTGTGTTAGCATTTTCAACACACAAGCTGCAACCCCTCAGGAGGAAGATAGAGCTCCACTGAACCCAGGGCCATGATGGACCTCCAAAGGAGTCATCAACTCTGGCTTCACTGAAGGACTTCAACTTCTCCCAAAGACAGAATTGTCCACGTCCTTAAAAATCTCCTTGTGTCTGAATCCGAGACCCAGAGCCAAATCTCCCCTGCCTCATCACTGCTGTCATTAAGATGACACCATGTTAAATTACATGGCCTCAATGTGGTCTCAGCTGGTAAAGCAAAGGTCAATAAACACCATCCTGATGAGCTCTGGAGAGCTACATGTGGGGAGCACATGCCAGCCCGGGGACACATTGTCAGAAAAAATTGCCTTCCTTGCAAACGATGTCTTAGAAGGCTGTGAGCCCTTGCCTGTGGATGGCAGAAAATCACTGTCCCCTAGCTCCTCTTTGGTCACAAGAAAAAAGGGCCCATATGAGGCACTAGTGGAATGCGACCCACCCCAGAAATAGTAAATGCCCTATACATTCCTTTTTTCTTTCTCAGCTCTGGAACTAGAGAGGCTCCATTTTGTAAAGATAGTATTTTCCAGAGGAAGGCCAGAACTTCATCAATGGACTGTGAACAGTGCTATTTTATTGGTAAAACAGTCATCTGGGTAAGACCACCTTACAAACAAGGACTTTTCAGTCATCAAGGCTTCTTAGACTGGGTTACAAGCAGACTCAATTTATAAGCCATCTTACTAATACTTGACTGACAGTGTAATGATGGACACAACACTGGTGTGCAATTCTGCCTGCATCCTTAACAAAGGAGGATGTCCTCCATGTTACGAAGAGTAGCCAATGCCATGGATACAGCATGTGCCCTGAGTCACCAGGCTGGTGAAGACCAGGAAGTAGAGACCTACCTTGGGTTTCACCACCTTCATGAATGCTCCTCTGATCAATGCCTCCTCTCGTTCCTGTTTGGTTACTTTCTGGGCATCCAGAAACTTCAAGTTGGGTAGCTTGTGTAGAACAAAGCACCTGGAAAAAAGTCAGAGATAACTTACTAAAATCGGGTTACAGACTCAAAGATTTATTCAATTTGTTGCATTCCCAGGAATCCATACCATTAGCTTTGCAGAAGTGAAGATCTTGGCTGTTGATGCTTTTCTATGCCCTCACAAAGAAGAATTAACAACATGAGCAATCACTCTTTGGGGAAATCTGAATGGTTATAATTCACACAGATATAGAACTAAACTCTATCAACACACCCTAGTGGTGCTACTTGAGTTAAAGAACCACACACACACACACAGACACACACTCCTGAATTAGCCAAATGATGTGTTTTCCTCATTCTATTCTGGAAAATAGGTCCAGGTGCTCTGCTATACAGAAAAAACCGACTGACATTGAGTTGATTCTGACTCACAGTGACCCCCATTGGGTTTCCAAGGCAGTAAATCTTTACAGAAGAAGATTGCTCCATCTTCCTTCTGTGGAGCAGCTGGTGGGTGTGAACTGTCAACCTTCTTATTAGCAGTCAAATACCTTAGGTACTGCACCACCAGAACCCCTTGCTATACAGAAAGTACTCAGTAAAATACAACCTGATCATGCTATCTATATCATGAAATGACTTATATCATTGATATCATGAAACCACTTCTATGGTTCAACTGGATCACTTTCAACTCTGAGATAAAACAGATCTCCAAGTTGAGTCTGAGTCAAGAGACCTTGGTTTGCTATGCAGCCATTAAACTATAGCTTCTAATATTAAGAAGGAAGATGTCAGGATAGAAGTAAGAAAAAGATGTAGCTGATAAATGCTTCCTTAATTAATAGAACAGGGATCTTAAAAACTTTCTTCTTACTATCACTGAGTTATTTCCATGATGGCAATATGAAGGTTGTCTTTCTTAATGAGAAACAAGGGGAGTTAATTTAAAGGGGATAACAACAGCTCATCAAATACTATATACTGCCCATTTTTGTGGAGAGATTGTTTGGCATCCATTATTCAAAGGATTAGAAAATGGCTCAAACTCACTGCCGTCGAGTTGGATCTGACTCATAGGAACCCCACCTTGGGTTTCTGAGGCAGTATCATTACAGAAGTAGATTGCCCAGTCCTCCTTCCAAGGAGTGGCTGGTGGGTTTGAACCACCTGTCTTCTGGTTAACAGTCAAATGCCTTAGGCACTACTTGTGATAAACTGTCCTCAAGCAGGTATATGAGAGGTTGGCAAGAAGATTCATTTGGCCTTGGTATAGCCAGGTGTCTAGACTTATAATTCTCCTTACTCAGTGACAGTCACCATCCCAGGTACTTCCCATCAAGCTTCTATACTCTATCAATCAATTAACAATGGTTTCAATCTGCTTTACTTAAGGAGAAGAGGTAAGTACCCAATGTCAAGGCATTGGATTATCTCCAAGGGAATTTGCCACCTCTTTCTTGCCCTCAGCTTCCTCAGCATTCACTCATATTTCAAGCACCACTCCCCTCAAGTTTCCTTCTGCACCTTCAACTCACGTTGCTTTCTCCCATTTCAGTGCTCCTAGAATATGTTGTAAGGAGTTCTGGTCACACAGTGCCTAAGGCACTTGACTGCTAACCAGAAAGCTGGCAGTTCAAACCCAAAAGCCACTCCTCAGCAGGAAGTTTGGGCAACTTACTTCTGTAGTGATATTGCTTCGGAAACCCAAGGAGGGGTCGCTATGAGTCAGGTCCGACTCGACAGCACATAACAACAACAACAACAACAGAATATGGTGTCAGCATCATACAGTGTAACATTTCATGGGTTTTATGGGTGTTTAGTTAGTGTCCTTACATAAACTGTAAGCTTCTTGAAAGCAGGGGCAAATTTCTTTCCTTACCTCTATCTCATCTTGGAAACTAGCGTTAGGATGGACTCCATGAAATGCCAGCTCACGTCAGTTGTACAAATATTTATTGAGTACCTACTATGTGCCAGGCCTTGTGGAAAAGTGATTGTAACATGGTTTCTGCTCTCAAGAGATCAAGAGTGTAATGGGGAAGATGCACCAGACCGAGATAATTAGATATCAGAGTGGCTAAGTGCCAAGACTGAGGGAATGTGCAGAGTAGTTACGGGAGCACAAAGAAAGGGGCCTGTATTACTCACGGAACAGCTGAGAACTAAAGTAAAAAAGGAGGAACAGGAAATTTCAGGCAAGTTTCAAAGAACCAAACCCTAAAGCAACCCAACGACTTAGTTTTTCTTAATGCAGATCTTACTTGAGGCATGGAAAGCACCTCTCCCCTCAATGGAACTTTGGGTTCCCAGGGCCACTTTCCACCTAACAAGGTGGCCTCACATCACTAACTGGCCTTCACATGCTTGTTAGAGTCACAGACATTGCTGATCACTCAAAAGCCAGAGAAAGTAGCTAAGAAGCCTCTAATAATAACCTTCATATTACTCTTTCATTCAGTCAAAATACTCTGAGATTATTTTATTTTTATCCCCCAGAAAAGTCTACCCTAACCCCTGAAGTTCTAGAAATTTGACTCTATACCTACTTTCTGCTTCCTTTCCAACTACTATTACCTGCTTTCCTATTCCTTCCTGAGTTTCTCTCTCTTCCCTCTCCAAATGCTCCCTTAGCCATATCTATCCACAAAGTATCCACATGTCTTTTCCATCCTCTGGCATAATTCCCAATGGCCTCAGTCAATGTCAAAGAAAACTTCCATCTTCTGCTTGTAGCAGCAAAGTCTTGATGACAACAGATTCTTTCAAATAAAGACATGTATAGACAGAAACAATATGTCAGGAGTGACGCTCAAAGGAGTAAAGACACCCACTAAGTGTAGGGTGGGAAAAGATGAATATTCAGGTGAAGAAAACATCAGTATTAGAAAATCATCCAGTGTTTAATGATGGAATGAAAGATGCCTTCACAGGGCTGGCAGGAACCAGGATGACAACAGACAGCGCATTGTCATCTCACCCCACTTTGGATCACAGCCTTGAAATCAAAGCACACACAGAGAGAGAGAGAGAGAGAGAGAGAGAGAGAGAGAGAGGTGTTGGCTTTTAAGCTAGTTAAAAATTTTAGATGGCACAGAACTGCTGTTTTCAGAGCACTCTTCTTTTACAGTCAAAGAAAGAGCCCATGAAAAAAAGACTGCCAGGTGCCCCTGAGACTAGGGTGACTTAACTCCCATCCTCAGTGCCAGCCTGGCATTTCCAGGTGGGTGGCAGCTTGGAGAGGTGTGAAGGATACTGGGAAGTCTTGTCCTAAATAGTTCTGAGATTCAGCCCAGAATCAAAAACTTCCTTTAGAGATGCCTTCTTTTGTTTTCTTACTCATCCATCCATTCATCTTCCAGCCATTCAACAAGAAATTATTGAGCAGCTACCACCTGCCAGGAGCTGGGCCAGGTGTTGAAAATAAAGTGATGAACAAAACAGACAAGGTCCCTCTCTTGAGGAACTTTGTATTCTAGCACAGTGGTTCTCAAACTTGAGTGAACATAAGCATCACGTGGAATACAGTTCACTGGGCCCCTAGAGATTCTGATTTTGTAGGTCTGGTGGGGGAATGAGAATTTGTTTCTTATAAGTTCCCAGGTGATGCTGATGCTACTGGCGTTGTAAACACAATTTGAGAACCACTGTTCTAGCGATAACAATGCCCAGAGGAATAACAGTTTGGAGATTAGCCTTATGGGACACCAATCTCTTTCCCTTTCTGCTAGCCGTCTATCCTGTCCCAATGTCTGTGGGTGCATAGCACATAAACAGTAGCCATGTCTACCAGATCTTCCTGCCCCTTGGTGTTTTGGGACCAGCTCCAAACATTACTGTCAAGTGATAAGTCAGTGGGCTTCTGGCCTGCCTGCCCCATCCTGGTCTCGGGAGATCTATTTCCTTTTGCTCCAGGTCATGTCAGGGTGTCAAAAGCCACAGCTTCAATCCTGAGTGTAATACTAGTTTGCCATAAAAATACAAGAAAGGATACCCGAAGCCACAGAATGAAGGCTTTTACAATATCAATTCAACCCTTGTAAATTTAATCCAGGGTTATTTGTTGCACCAAAATCTCTTTACTGTGATGTATTACTTAGTTACTGGGGTTATCACAGCCGTATCCTAAAGTTGCATAGTACATAAAACATTTCAGTTAACAATGTGGGAAGGTTAACTCCCCCAGATAACCTGCAATCACAAGGGCTAGTCCAGATGACATGCCTCTGTCAGCTTCCACGAGCTATTGATGGTTCAATCAGTTTGTTTTGAAGGTAAAGTACAACAAAAGGGCAGTAAACTTATTCAGACTGTCAACAGGGGCTATCGGGAATGGGGCTTGCAGGTAAGTAATTCTGGGTGTTTTAAGGCTATTATCAAACAGCAATGGTTGAAGGAAGAGACAGCTACTAATAACACAGAAGGCAGCCATCATAAACCACTTTATGGCAGAAACCCCCGTCTATAAATCCTGCGACACCCAGAGACAGCTTCAGATTTATAAAACTGCTTGTTAAGCTAGGGCACTGCTTAATGAAAAGAGATCAGTCTAAGTTCCAAGTTTCATGTCTCTAGCTCCAAAAGGCAAGACCAATTTCCCTGACCTTCTCAAGGTGGCTTGGGGAAAGCCCCTGGGGGCTTGGTATGGTGGAGTCAGAGGCCCTCTTGGCTATGATGAGAAAAGTGAGAATCGCAAGAGGAGAGCAAGGATCCAGGGAAGGTGTTTTAATACCCATTTGTCTCTGTCTAAAAACTCAGCTTCTCTGAAAGTGATAAACCAGCACCCACAGCTTTTCAGGTTCTCTCTTTTCATATAGAATGTTCCATTTTCTTAAAGCACTACTCTAAGGAGAGAGCTAAAACTGGTGGTTGGAGAAAAGGAACAGCAGAAAGTTGTTTTTTTTTTTTTTTTTCCCCTCTAAAATAAATTTTCTCTGTCCAAAATCCTGATGCTCTGGCATTTTTCATCTAGATTTCAAAGAGAGTAGGGTCTTTTCCTCCTGACCACAACACCTACCCTAGGGGAACTGGCTGA